ATCGAAGAAGTGTGAATTATCTTGAACCTCTCACGGAACTCTCCGATGAGAACCATGTAGACACAGAGAAATAACCCCATCAAGACCTTGGTCCATGATAGCATTATCCCTCTGCCATTGCCGAGCGTATACCATCGTCCCCGGAACAGATGTCAAGGACACCCAAATTCGCCACCAACTTCCAAAGATTGACGACCTCAATGACCATCATTCATGTCAAAATCTGGACAACATCATCAACTAATCCCGAGAACTACCCACCCCAGATTCTACCACAGTTCGACAACTTTTCAACCTTTTCGAAGAGCTCTTGCTTGATTCATCCGACTCCAATGACGTTGAAGGGATGATAGGCGAGCCAGCGTTTCCCGAAGTTGTTGAGGATGCTAGTGATATTCCTGTCGACGTCGTCAAGAGGTATATCGCATCTGGGTCCGTTGACGATGGGTTTCTTGTCGCCGTAGATGGCGGTCTTCTTCGAACATCCGCCGCCGAGGATGTCGAGTTTGGCCTGATGGCACATATATTTGTTGGGGAACGGATAATCGAGAAGCCCCACTGCGATTATGCAATACTCAATCTCCTTCATCACGCAACTTGGAGCTTAAAACGATAGATTGTATGGCCAATCCTTATCTCACTTTGGCTGTTGTGTTAGGTGAAGGTTTCGGGAGGCATCCTGCAATCAAAGGAACTGATTACACAGGATTGCAATGGTGGCCAATCCGCAGCGTTTTGGAAGAGAAGGGCAGAGCAGAATTGGGGATCAAAGAGCGTTTTCCGTTGACTTGGGGAAGATACTCGCTGTGTCATCGTGGACAGTCTTTTTGAGCATCAATAAGGTTTGTTTTTATAACTCCAGTTCTTAGTTTGGACCTGTCTAATAATTTGTGTTTTGTAGATATTGAAAGAACAAACGACCTTTGGACTCATGGACCATGAAGCGTTGTAGGTCCTTGTCGAGAATTACTAGCTCTAGGTCTCAGTCTATCTAATGGTATTCCTTACTAAGTCTGCTCAGTAGAATAATTATTAATACTTTAATATTTTTAGTTGTACTATTGGCCTCCCGCCGAATGCTGTGGACGATCCACCGCCAGAGTGCCCAAAGACCAACATAATCAAAACGAGTCCCAATTTAACAGTCAAGGCAAATTTACCATTGGATGATCGTGAAGATGATTACTCTTGAAAGATATAATACGAACCAGCTAATTAAACACACTATTTCTCTAGGGAATTATTTTGAAATATTGCACAAACTAGTTTAAAATTGTATGCAAACTTCCACAGATTAGTATCAAGAACGGTATACAATGATGATGATTACTACCGTCCAAACTTCCGTATATATTAGATAAGAATAAGTATTTATTTTACAGAATGATGACTTGCGTCCTATCATGATCACTGAGAGAACACCAAATCCAACTTGTACCGACGCCGGCCCAGATCCCAATTAACTCAGATACCCCTTCGAAGCGAGAACCAAAGTCAGATTCATTGGACGAAATATTGAACGTTAGGTGTCATCAGTATTTCCAGTCCCTAAATTCCCATTGTCCAAACATTTGATACCTGCAGCCTGTGCTTCGATCTTCTTAGTGGACTTTGCATTTTCCTCTTCCATCTGCAGGCGAGGCGGGTATCCATTCGGTTTACAAGGGAATATCATTTATGATGCAACGGGCGCATGATGGAGGAAGTGGGGAATTGACTTCGCAGTTTCTTTCTTCTTCGGTTTCGGAGGGGACTCAACGAGATTTAGACTTTCATCATCCGAGTCTGCTGTAGCCTTGCGGTTTCGTTTCTTAGACTGTAACACCCGGGCCCGGCTTTTCCCCCTTTATTGAGTATTTTTTTGAACCTTTGTCTTCCGGCATATTTTTCATGGAATTTTTTTTCCTTTGGCTAATGTTTAAGGTGAGTTTATATTAGCTTCCGTACATAGATAAGAATAAGTTTATTTTATGGAGGACAACTTACGTCCATCATGATCGCTGAGTGAACAGCAAATCCAACTTGTACTAACGCCAGCCCAAATTCCAATTAACTCATGCACCTCTTCGAATCGAGAACCAAAGTCAGGTTCATTTGACCAAATCTTGAACGGTAGAGGGGTTTAGTCCGTATTTCCAGTCCCTAAATTCCCGTGTTCGTTCCATCCCCATCCCCACAATACTTGTTGTACAAAGTGATCTTCCATGTTCCGATGGGAAAGGACCAATAGATGCTCACTTCCACATGCGATTTCGACAGATGTACTTTTACAATCGAAGACTTCCGAAAAACAGACGACGCCAGAACCAAGGATATCAGCGTTAAGCGGGTCAATCTTCAATCCAAGTTGGCCATGAGAGTTGCTACCTGAACAATGTATACGCCATTCTTCTTCATTTGTTTCGACAACAGTGTAAGATCCATTCCAGGTACATCCAATCTTTAGAACTTTTTGCAACGGTAATAACTGGAGTTGACCCTTCCGATTGGATCCCGGAGCAGATATTTGCCCGGACAATGCGTGGAGGAATAGACTGTGATGAATGCCAAGAGCCGATGATACGACATCATCTACTTCTATAATCCGTGGAAGTGGTGTGAATGTTGGAGGTTTTGAGTCGGATAAAGGTGCTTGCCCGAGTTGGCCATGCCTAGATTTCCCCCATCCGACGTATAATGGTATACTAACTGGTTCCGATATTTGTATATGGACGATGGTATGTCGTTGACCCGAAGTGATAGATTCCACTCGAAGAGCAGCAGGGACAATACGAATGCCTGAAGGCGTAGAAAGATGGTCGAACCTAACCACATGAAAATCCTTTGCAGATTGTTCTCCAGTCCTGGTAGAAGAACCTCCTCCAACCCCGAGATCTCCAAAGTCATCAGATCCCATGGCAATTACAACGTCCCCTTTCCCAGCACATGATAGTACAACGTAGCTCGTCTCCCAAGATGCGCTGATGAGCCGACACGAATAGCCGGACAGACCGGAGTCCTTGAGAGACAAATCAATCTTTCTAAACTTCATCGTGGAACTTCCTGGAAGGATGTCTTTCTTGTATCTTTTGCCTAGTTGGCCTGAACGTCCGTCACCGCAGCCCCATAATTCCCTCGCCTTCAGTCCTAACTGATCAATTGACTCTAGAAGCACCAAAGTATGGTTTGCACCAGAAACCACACTGAGAACGCGTGAAGTCCC